TGAAGCGAAAGTGAGGGATGGGCTGATTTCGCGCAAGATGCTGAAGTTGTTTCATCGGTAGTAGATGAAACTTTACTAACCACGAAACAGGTACGTTAAGCCACCGTTAATAGGGGCACCAAAGGGGAAGGAACACTGACAGAAGTGTATAAAATTTCGAAGAAATCATCGTTGGTAACTTCGTCAGAGAACAATACACAATAACGACAAACGAGGCCATTTTGCACGTGCGAGAAGATTATGCGATTGATCAGGTGGCAATGGTACAGGAACTCCCGTCCGACCTTGCCCTTGCGCACACGCAGACTGAATGGCAGCTGGTAAGTCAGGGACTGCATCCATGGTCTGGCCAGCATGTCGAATTTAAACGAGTCCGAGGTCAAGTTGGGATCGGTATAAGCCGCGGTCCTTGTCCGGAATCACCGATGGGTCGATGACTTCGCCAGCCGCCGTTTCTACAACACCAGCGTGGTGTAGATATAGCAACATCAATCGAAAGGACACGATGATCAATATTTAAAATGATGAAGAAGAATTATTACGATTATTGTCGTCGGTAGCAACTCCATGTGTCCTAGTCAGAAATGATGAAATTGAATCGGCGTGAAATTTCGAAACATGAATGTGAACGTGAAGAAAACGCGTTCGAAACAAACAGTAAAGGAAGTAGCATGATAATTAGCGAAGTTACTCACTTATTCCGCGGCAACGTATGTTCCTTTGACACTGACAAAGAAAAATCAGATGAACTGGACAAGGTAGATGATTCTTCATCATTCATCATGTTACATAAACCGATATTCATGTACTCCTGAAAAGCACGGAGCCGAGGTGCTCGTATCTGAACAGTCTGCCGTTGTGAACTTAGCATAAGGAGATACCATCGCCAACTGCGCCTGGACATTGCATACATTAAAATCTGCGAAGTACTTTCGATCTTCCCCAAGTCATGACACGTGACAAAAGGGGCAGTTGATCAGAATGCCAGTGCCGACTGATCGACTATGCGCAATCGCACGTTTCACCGCAGTTTTGTGATCCTAAAACTTATTGATCACACTGACTGATGGCTATCATAAATCCGCTGAGGAAAATCCAGCCGGTTCTCCTTCTCCACAAGAATTGCAAAATATCGAAAGTGCCGAAATTGAACTCAATGATTAGAATGCAAAATGTTATTTTTGCGGCTTCATTTGCATGAAAGTAACATGCTCGACAAAACAATTTGCATCCTACACTCGAGTCACACCCGCCACCACCGATGGGTAATCTGGTACCAATAGAAGAGCGATGATGCAGCTTGAAAAATGACATCAAATATTTAACATGCTGATGACGCAAAAATAAAATGAACAATCGGATCACTAATCAATACCAATGTTTTCGTTTCTTAAGGACCTTCTTCATAGTAAGAGATTGGTCGAGTTTCAGAGGTAACTTTTTGTCCGCAGCTGTTGGAAGATTTGGAACCAGAATCAGGCTTTCGGTCTGTGCTGATGCCCAAATAGTTTCTAAACGGCATGGATGAAAGGCTCATCCAACCCGAGTAGAGTTCTTGTCCTTCGTTCCGGTTGAGATTCTTGCAAAACTGAATGATTAACGCCTTCGCGATACGTGGTTGAAGCCACTGTCATTTCTTGACATAGCTGACATACTCTGACCATTGAGAAGGAGAGTAGTGTATCTTTGCTGTACCATGTGCTGCACAATCCCGGAAGAATTTGCCCATTGTTCCTTGACATTTCTGAGGACGAGTCTGATTCTTCCCTGGTAGTTCGTTATCACAGCTTGCTGATGTCATGCTATTCCCTGTCTCTGTTTGCAACATTTTCAATATTTACACGGTAATTTGTTAACCCAGCCCAGAAAGTTATTATTATCAGAATTGGTTAATAGAGCATTAAGTTTATGAGAGCTTATATACATGACATTAGCATATTATCCTGAGTGCTAAATCATCTTTGTAACTTTTCATTTAAGTTACTAAGACAAACTAATGCTGAAGATCATATTGACACATATAAAAGCTAGAGTACCTCGTTCATACTGAAAAAAATAGCGTAAAGTACGGTTTACATATATGCAACGTAAAAGATACGGGGGTCAATCACCGCAGTGACCACTGTATCTTTCGCGATGCATATTAGATATGCGTGTTTTACGTTATTTTCTATAAACAAAAGCTGTGATAAGGTTAAAGCCGTAATAAAAGATTTAGAGAATAACAACATTTCATATTGGTTAACAAACTACCAAGCTACGACGGAAATATACTGGCATCATCAAAGAGATGCAATAGCCGCATGGCCGCGTCAAGGAGACATTTATCATCCAGTCTCGCGAGAATGTCAGGGAAAAAGCATATGAATTCAGAGAAAATTGGATGACACGTGTCGCTTATATAAACTAGAAGCTCTTTGACCAGCGGCACGGATCAAAAGCTTAAAATACACGGACGAGCCATAAATATAAATTTTTAAGGCCAGAGTATATTCATAAGCATTTAAACAACGCAAAGCCAGATTTCACAGTATTTGGTAGCATCTTATTGTTCTCTTGCTTAGAGGGCGAGAGGTTGAATTGTTGCCTATTTAAATGCGGCAGATCCTCCTCAATATGAAGGAAGCTAAGTCCCGAGTGAAACTGAATCTTCGCCATCAAAGATTCTTCGCGACGTATATATAATTATTACAGTAGAAGGAGTCTATCAAAGTCTCGTGATTGCGACAATAAAGAACTACAGCAAAGTCAAATGAACACAGAAACCTCATGAACAACTTAGATAACGCATCAATTAAACGAGGCTGAAAAACGCTCTACGATCGAGCAAACATTGTCATCGAAAACTACTCACAAATGCGTTGCATCGGGTTGTTGGAAACAAGACCAAGCAAGTATCTGAAATGACAGGCTGCGCTTCGAATAGAATGTTTGC